CAGAGGGAGAAGCAGACTCCCTGCCGAGCAGGGAGCCCGATGTGGGACTCGATCCCGGGACTCCAGGATCATGACCTGAGCTGAAGGCAGTTGCTTAACTAACTGAGCCACCCAGGCACCCGACCGTGATCTTCTACACAGAGACCCAATCCCCAGAGAGGCCAAGAGCCCCTGATTGGAGGCCTAGGGGCAGGCCTGTGCATCACAGCTGGATTGGAGGTCCATATCCCACGTCAAGACTGCCACTTAGTTTACAGTTTGTGCAAGGCACAAAGGAGTCACCCATGGAGCTAGTAAAGGGTGCCATCAGCTCAAACTCCCTAACCAACGTGGAGAAACACATAGGGCCACCTCCTGCTGAAGGAAACAGCACATTTGTGCACAAAGGCACTACTTGCAAAGAGATGCACCCTAAAGGCTGGGTCTGCATAGAGGGTGCTTATTCTAAAACACACAAAAGCCCAAATCAGCCAGAGATTGATTTGGATAGAACACCAGATCCCATAGACAGAGGCCTAGGCTCTATAGAGAGTGTCTCAGAATTTAAAAACCTGATAGAGCTGCTTAAACCCTAGAGAAAGGGCTCCAGATTCTAAAGAGAAGGGCTCAGTTATGGGGACTGGGTCTGGGGGTGCTAGTTTCTAAACAGGAGTATCTGAGTCCTGCAGGAAAAGACTCACATCCATAAGTGGGACCCAGATTCTACAAAAAGAGATTTAAGGCTTCTAAAATGAAATCTGAACTCCTAGACCAAATCAGCAATCTCCCATCCATATATAAATGGGCAGCCCCTCTGCCAACTGTGGCCCTAAAGAGAGAAGCCTCCCTTTGCATAGCAGGGAGTTTGGGTGGCGGCGGAGGGGGTTTGGGATTGGGGCACCTGGAGTAGGTAGGTTAGCATCATTTGGGTGACACAAATCTCCCTGGGGGTGAGGAATCTGGGGGAAGAGAAAGCTCTTTGCAAAGTCCCCCATTCCCACCCCAAGGGGCCTAATTTATCTTCTGGCTCCTGAGAAGGGAGAGAAGATCTCCTGGGGTGGAGGGGAGCTGAGGGAGGACAGAGTCTACTCTAGCCCCGCAGCAGCTAGGCAGGAGGCCCATGCTGAATGGCACTGTCCCCCCACCCCCCACCGCAGCACCTGAGGACCCCTGTCCTGCCAAGGATCAGCACATGGAGGGGGCCTGCATGTCCTCTCTCCTGAAGTAAAGGAGAGAAGAGCATCACACTAGTCTCCCCGGACACAGGTCATTGGTGTGGATTGTCAGAACCTGACCTGAGACCTGGTCACTCTTTGTCTGAACCTCTCCAAGAGAGAAGAGATGAGAGCTGGGCACCCCCTAGGTCTGGATCCTAGACCCTTTCCCTCAACTTCTACTTCCTGGGCAAAGAAGGAACCAGAGGAGAACAGGGAACTGTGGTGTTGGGGTGCATGTGGGTCCCTGCGTGTGCATGGTCCAGGTTGTGCTCCCACGTCTTTGTGTGTCTGCAGATCTCTGGTTGTCTCAGCGCCACTCCCTGTATGTGTTGGCCAGAGGCACCTGTGTGTGTAAATGGCTGTGTCCAGTGCTGTGTCTCTCTGTTCCCTGCGTCTGCTTTCATGAATGTGTGTGTGCCAGGTCTGTGCTTGGGCGTCACTGTGGGGACAATGTCGGTGAGAGCTGGAGCCCAGGATCTACCTTCTGGTCAGTGCGTCCAGCAGCGACCAAGGTGGGGGACCCCGCTGGCTGCACTGGACGGGCCCTGCTTGAGCGTGAGTGAGAGATCCTCTGTAGGTGCTCTAGCTGACTCTCCTTGGGCCCTTCCAGCACACCCAGTATGGACATTCTCAGGGCGAGCTCCTGTCCCTCGCCTCCAAGAAAAACAAGCCTCATGCTCCGCTGGGGGCTCCGGGTCAGGAGCGGTCAGGTCCTTGGTGCGCACTGAGTCTTCTCCACCCTGCAGCCCCCGGCCCCCTTATTCACAAGGGAAGAGGACCATGGAGGGAGCGGAGGGCAGACTGCTCAGAAGGAAAGGGGGGTTGTCTAGTTCTACTATGAAGCGGTCCTGGACCCCCACCTCCTTTTCAAATCCCCCTCACCCCATCCCAGGGATGGATGTGCTCACAGGAGGTCGAGACCCCGGTCTGGGCCTCCCTAATCCTTCTCCAGGGAACTCGAGACTGGGAGGCAGAATGCCCGGGACCCGCGGAAGCAAAAAGTAAACCTAGGAGGCAAAGAGGGGGAGCGCGCCGGCCGTTCCCGAAGGGACAGCACGGTCCCTACCTCCCGAGCGCCGCGCGCTCCGGGCCGAGCGGGGCGGGGCCAGGCGGGAGCGCGCCCGGGGCGGGGCTTCGGGGGCGCGCCCGGAGGGCGGAGGGAAGGGCTGGGGGCGTGGCCTAAGGCCTGGGGGCCGGCGGCGGCGGCGGTGGCGGCGGCGGCGGCGGCAGGGAGCTGGGAGGCGAGAAGCCGGGCGCGCGGGGCTCAGTCGGGGGGCGGCGGCGGCGGCGGCTCCGGGGATGGCCGCGGCTCCGCTGCTGCTGCTGCTGCTGCTCGTGCCCGTGCCGCTGCTGCCGCTGCTTGCCCAGGGGCCCGGGGGGGCGCTGGGAAACCGGCATGCGGTGTACTGGAACAGCTCCAACCAGCAGTGAGTCGGGGGCCCAGGGAGCCCAGTGCGTACCGCGTCTGCGAGAGGGGGAGCCGGTGGGCCCGGGAAGTCTCGGGGGCCCCGGGGTGGGGGTCCTGGGAGGCACGGCTGGGGGCTGGGAACGAGGGAGAGGGGGACACACTCTGTGGGCGTCTGTGAAACTCGCGGGGGGGCGTCTGAAAGAGGCTGTTGAGGTCTAGGGACGAGGTCTTGGGCCGTGCGGAGGAGGCTGCTCGGGGACACAGCACCCCACCTTTCTTCTCTCCGCACCCGCCGCTGGAATAGCGTGCCCCCATCGCACAGTCCCCCATCTTCGCCCCCTTCAGCCGTGCTGGGCCGTCGCACCGGGGGGGCCCAGGGATGACCTGTTTTCAGCGGTGAGGCTTTCGAGGGGTTCTGTCTAGGACTCCTGCTTTCAAAAGTGGGGTCAAGAGCTGAGGCAGGGAGTCCGGCCCAGCACCTCCTCAGAACGAAGCCGAATGGGTTGCCCTGGTTGTGGGGAAAAGCCAGGCGGGGGTGAGCTGGGCTGGGTCGCCGAGGCGGGGGTCCTGGAGGTGCTGCTTGGTGGCGATGGAAACGTGGGGTACCGGTGAAAGAGAGAGAGGCCCGCAGATGTCGGCGTGTCACATACACACACACACACGCCCGGCCTGGGGACGGCGTGTGGCTCCAAGTGTGAGCAGGCGTGCGCGGCTGTCAGTGTGCGTGTGTGTCTGAGTGTGTGATTTGTGTGTCTGCGTCGGCGATCGTCTGGGGGTGGGAGCGGGCGGCGGGGCGGGGAGGGGGCTGCGGTCGCTGTCCGCGTGGCCGGCCGCGTCTGGGCTGGGGTGGCTGCCGGCGCCGCCGCGGTCTGGGCGGGTGTCGGGGCGGCCGTGTGGTTTCCCGGGGTGTGTGGCGCGGCGGCTGGGTGCCGGCTGCGGGGCCAGGTCCTCAATCGGCTCAGTCCTCCCTGCCCTTGTTTTCTCCTCCCCGCCGTGCCTCCGTGTGTGTCTGTGTGTTGGGGGCATCCCTAGGGACGCGGGGGTCACTGTCACACCTGCCGCGGCGGCGGCGGCACCACCTCGGGCTCCCCACCCCGGGGGGCGACTCGGGAGCCACTGGCGAGGCCCCAGGGGAGGGGACCAAGAGAGGCCGCCGGCCGCGACCCCCAACCTCCCGGGGGAGGGGCTGCCGCTCGCCGCTCCGCTCTTTGTTGTTTGGGGCTCCGCGCCTCCCCCTCTCTCCCTGCTCGCGCCCAGAGTGTCAGACTGGGGGTGGGGATGAGCCAACGACGCCCCCCTCTCGCTTCCCATGGAAACCTCGGGGGTGGGGATGAGGCCCCTCCCCGCCGGAGCGGGACTCGAAGAACTCCGGGGGGTGCTGGGGGCTGACTCCCCGTTCTCTCTAGCTCGTCCCCCTCCCCCAGACTCACACGTCCGCCTCCCCCCGCCCCACTAGAGTCTGGCGGGGAGTGGAGAGTACGCAGGTGAGGGGCCCCGGGTTCCCACCACCCTCGGGGCACCCCCGCGTTCTTAGGGTAAGCGGGAGCCAGGGGTATGCGGGAACGGCCGGGTGTGGGGGGGGAATGTTGTTGATCAGGTTCCCCTCCCCCGCATACACCTGGGCTCAGGTGAAAGCCCTGGGAGGGGGTGGGGGAGCCCGGTTCCGGGAGCCTCCTTTCAGCCTTCCCCGCTCCCCCGCAGGTCTGGACCGGCAGAGGTGGGGGGGGCGCGCACCCGGCTGGGAGGACGCCGCCGCCCCCGCCTCGCTTCCTCGGCCTTTGTTGCCGCTGCGCCCGGGCTCCCCGGCTCCCTCACTGCGGCAGCCGCGGCCCCATAAATCGTGAGAGCGACGTGCTCCGGAGCCGGGAGTGGAGAGGGCCAGGGAGCTGGGGGCGGGGCCGGGCCGAGCCACGGGCTCCCGCGCCCCCTCCCCCCGGTCACGTGAGCTGGGCGCCCGGCTCCCACCCCCTGTCACGTGCTGAGGGTCTCTGCCCCTTGGGGTCACGTGGAGAGGGTCTTGCGACCCCGCCTCCTGGGGTCACGTGGGAGGGTGCTGTGGGACACGTGCAGAAGCCTCCTTTGACAGACCTGGGGGCAGTGCCCTGCACAGCGGTGGTGATCTCGCCCCCTGTCCCCCCACTCAGGTTCTCCGTTTGATGCGCTGTAACTGGAGAGACCAGTTCCAAACCTGGCCCAGAAACTAGGGATGGAGGATACTATACTGGAGGGAAGAAAGAGAATGTGAGGTCGAGGGGTCCCCTGAGCCCGGAATTGAATTTGGGGTGGGGGTGGGAGGACCGGCTGATGGCCAGGTTCCTTGCTTTACAGAACGGAGCAAGGCGTTGTTATTCGCCCCTAACTCAAGCAGCCTGGGGAACATCTTTCTCTAGCCGTCTCCCTACCTCTCTCTCTCTCTGAAATGTTTCTGTTGCTGATCTGTTTCATTCACACGTTCATTCAACAAATATTTACTGAGGCTGTACTACGTCCCTGTTGGTCTTTGCCTCTGCTCGTATTCTCCCTGCCCCCGAGCCTCTGCCCCGCACCCCCTTGCCCGCCACTGAGAGCCGTCTCAGTCTCTGCTGTCTGGGGGCCTCCCCGATCGGCCCCCAAGTCTCTTCCTTTCTCCACGCCTCCCTCCGTTCCCATCCTGGTCCTCTTTCTCTCCGATTCTGGAACCCTCTCTTTCGCTGTGTCTCGACCTGTCCCCTCTCGGGGACCCGGGTCTGTTAGTCTCCCCTCTCGCTGCGCGCGTCTCCTCTCACTCCGTTTGTGTGTCTCGCTTTCGGCGGGTCTCTCGCTCTTCGCCGCCGCTGCAGATCAATAAACCTTCGCCGCCGCCCGCCGCTGTTGCAGGGAGGGGGGCGGGGATGTGGGGCGCGCTGCCTCTCCCCCACCCGACGCCGGCCGGAGAAGCCGGGGCTCCGGGCCAGGGATGGCGAGACCCGGCGGGGCGGGACGCAGAGAGCTCCCCGAGGGGTGCGGGGGTGTCAGCGTGCACGCGCCGCCCCGCGAACGTTCCCGCCACCCACCCACCCCCAGCCAGGCGCGCGGACCCCACGCCGCGCGCACGTGGTCCAGCCTCGCCTGCTGGAGCGAGCGGCGCGCCGCCTCGGGGCCGCGCGCTAGAGGGGAGGAGAGCCCGGGTCGGTGTCTTGTCATCCCTCCTCCACTTCTTTAGCTCTGCGTCCCGGCTTCTAGGGGTGGGGGCAGGGATTAAACAAGTTCAGCGCCCCTTGGGATGCCTTCCCTACTTCCTGGTCTTGTTAGACACCCTGTTTACCTGCCCCTAATTGCCCCGCGGGGAGAGGTTTGCTCCTTCCCTGCTCCCCCGCCAACCTACCCCACCAGGCTCGAGCAGGCGGGGCACTGAAGGAGTGACAGAGAAGGGTCGGAATGCGCCCCGGAGGCGTTGAGAGCCCGGAGAGACGAAATAACGGGGTGAGGGGGCACCCCTCCAGGTGGGGTGTGTCAACACTTGCCTTTCTGCGAGAGAGGTGGAGGCCAGTACGGGATGAAGAGAGGAAGAATAGAGACCTGTTTGAAGGGGCAGGCACACCCCAGGCCCCCGGGTCCCCCCCTCCCCCCCCAGGGATGGGGAGCTGGGGCCCTAGGGGAGGAGTCAGCTGCGGAGCTTTGCTGGGCCTAGTGGCACCTTCCTCTCCTCTGCCAGGGCGGGGAGGATGACAGATTCAATTACAGCGCCCAAGCCAAGCAGACACCTCACTCAGGTCTCCTGGGACTTGTAACTGGGGACTCTGGCACCCAGCCGCCTGCCCACCAGATACCAGCTGCCTACAGCCATTCCACAAGCCGCTCTTCCTCCCACATGCCCAGCTTGGGGGGCATTTCAGGGGCTCTTCCTGCCACCCAGCCCAGGGAGAGGTAAAAGATGGCTTCTCTTCCAGGTGCTCACCCAGCCGCCTTTCTGTAAGGCTAGGCCCTGCCCTGTTGAGGAAACTGTCACCTGTCCCAATAGCTCTGGCTGTGGCTTACTCCTTGCTGGAATGGGCTGTGTTGTAGGGGAATCTGGGCAGTGCCGCAGGAAGGGGCCACTTCAGAGCAGGTCTGGAAACCTAGGCGAGGCTCAAGGACGGAGGCCCAGGGTGGCTGTGCCGTGGCTTTAGGCCCAGCCCCCTAGCACTTGTGGCCCCCTCCTCAAAGCCTGTGGGGAAGGAACAGTTGACTTGGAGGTTGGGGATCGAGAGGCAAACCCAGGTGGCGCCAGGAGCCAGGCCTGGTCTAACCCGTTTTCCTGCTCCCAGTGCCCCAGGCCGAGACTCCTGCCCACCTGAGTGCCAGGGCCAGGGAGGGGCCTAAGTGACCCATCACTCCCGTGGGAACCAAGTGGGACTGGTGGCATTCCTGATGACTCAAGAAGGCTGTGCCCATTCCCACTGAGGTGCCCAGGCACCAGCTCTCCCCTCTGCCTACTGCTGGGCTTGGAAGGGAGTGCTTGGGGAGGGGGCGGTACAGGCTGGGCCAGGCAAGTAGGGTAAGGTGGGGAGGGACCCTCAAGGCTCCACCCAATTCAGAGGCCTCCAAGCATGTTTCCCTAATGGATCTAATTACTATTTGTGGCACTGGGAGGTGCTTGGTGACATGGGGAGCCAGTCCCTCCCTTCAGGGAGTTCCCAGGGACTAGGGACCCCAGTGGCTTGACATGCTGCTAAGTACCCCAGGCCTCTGTGTCCACCATGTTCTCTAGGGAGAGGACATGTACATCCCTACCCTAAAGAAATTGGGGGAAACTCCTTCCTACTCCTCTGAGTTTCTTTCTCCGTTCAAATGTTTTTCCCATCCCCGCACCACTCCGCATTACCATCGAGGGCATTAAGACCAACACTTTGATGATGACTGGCAAGGCAGGTGGGGATTACAAGGGACCCAGCACCTGCTTCTGTGTGCCATACAAGGATCGAGGAAGTACGAGGCACAGCCATCTTGTCTGGGCACTATGCCCACTACTCTGCCTAGCACCATTAAGGGGGCAGTGGAGCCAGGTTGAGGAGCAGGATGTATAGAGATGGAAGTTTTGGCTGGTTGGCATGATACCACGTGGAGCTTTGGTGTTGAGCCCCTTAGCTTCCCGATTTTGTTGTCTCACGTTATCGCGGACCTTAATTGCCAGTAATAGTGCAGAGAGGGCATGTGCCGGGGTGTCTGTGTGTGTGTGTGTGTGTGTGTCTGGGGGGGCGGGTCACGGGGGTGGAGGGGGCAGGGAGAGAGCTTGAGATGGCTCGGGTCAACCCATCCTGGCATGCCGCCTGAGTGGACGGTGGACATATTTGTGTGTGCGCCACGGAACTTGTGCGTGCATATGCATGAAGCCTCCAGACGTGCGTCTGTGAGCTCAGGTCCTGGCAAACTGGCCTTGGGAGTGCACTGGCAGCGGCAGGAAAGCATGCCGGGAGAGGGGATGCAGGGTGCGCATCTCTGGGAAGGGCTCCCTCCTACTCTCCCCCTTCCCTTCCATCCCCTACCACTCCTCCCCGGTGGGGAATTGTGGGGGATGGACGGAGGAAATCCGCGCCTGGGTCTGGGAGTCGCTGGGGCCTGCGCCGTTTCTGTGGTAACCAGAGCGTACGTTCCCTTCTCCTCCGCCTCTTCGCCTTTGGAGGCAGGCCGGGCTTCCCTGCGCCTTTGCTGCCCTCTGGCGGCCGCCGGGAGGAGGACAGCACAAGGCGTGGGCGTGGAGGGCTAGCGTGGGACTGGTGGCACTAGGGCCCTGGGGAAGGGGACGGGGACCGAGAGGAGAGGCAGCTCCGAAGACCCTAGGGAAGGTCTGCGGAGCCGCGACGTGGGAAGAGGGCTGGCGTGGGGTTTCTTCTCTCTGACCCGCTTCCTCTCCCCCGCAGCCTGCGGCGAGAGGGCTACACGGTGCAGGTGAATGTGAACGATTATCTGGATATTTACTGCCCCCACTACAACAGCTCGGGGGTGGGCCCCGGGGCGGGCCCGGGCCCCGGGGGCGGGGCGGAGCAGTACGTGCTGTACATGGTGAACCGCGCCGGCTACCGCACCTGCAACGCCAGCCAAGGCTTCAAGCGCTGGGAGTGCAACCGCCCGCACGCCCCCCACAGCCCCATCAAGTTCTCGGAGAAGTTCCAGCGCTACAGCGCCTTCTCGCTGGGCTACGAGTTCCACGCCGGCCACGAGTACTACTACATCTGTGAGTGACGGCCGGGGGGCGGGGCCGGGCGGGGCCGGGCGGGGCCGGGCGGGGCCGGGCGGGGCCGGGCGGCGTGAGTGGCAGGGGTGGGGCCCCGAGGGGCCGGGGCGGGGCCTAAAGAGCGTGCCTGGGAGACGGCCGGGGGGTGGGGCCCTGGGGGCGGAGCTAGGGAGCGTACCTGAGAGACGGCCAGGGGGTGGGGTGTCGGCGCGGGGCTGGGCGGGGCCGGAAAAAGTGAGCGAGAGCCAGGGTGTGAGGTCCCCAGGGGCCGGGGATGGGGGGTGCGAGTAGGCCTAAAGGCGACTGTGTCAGAGTGACGTCCAGGGGATGGGGTCCTTAGGGCCAGGGATGGAGGTTTTGGGGGTGGGCCTAAAAGCGAGTGTCAGAGCGCCGGCCAGGGGGTGAGGTCCGCAGGGGCTGGGGCGGGCCCACGTGGCGGCCACGTGGTCCGCGTCGCTGCGCACGAAAGCCCGGGATGCCACGTGGGGCCTGGCGGCCTTAGGGCTTCGACTCAGACAGCGTCTGAGGCTGAGGGAGGTTTAGTGACAGTCCGAAGTTTGGGTCGTAGGGTCACCGATGCCGCGAGGGACGTTCCGGGACTGAGACCTCAGGGCTCGGGGTTTCTTGAGGGCTGGGACCAAAAGGGCTTCTCGGGCTGACGGCGGAGCCGCGGGGACCCGTGTCCGAGGGCCGGGGAGCCGTGAAGCCGCGTCCCCGGGCAGGGGGCGGTGCGGAGGGGCGTGACGCGCGAGAACGCAGCTCAGGCCCCGTCTCGTCCCCCAGCCACGCCCACCCACAGCCCGCACTGGAAGTGTCTGAGGATGAAGGTGTTCGTCTGCTGCGCCCCCAGTGAGTGCCGTCGGCGCCCAGCCGCGACCGCGTCCTCGGCTCCCCGCTTCGGGGCTCCCCTGGCTCCCGGGGGCGGGTGGGGGTGCCCAGGAGCGGGGACCTGCTCCCCAGCTGTAGCGGTGGGGGGGATCCTGGCCCTGACTCTCCCCTCCTCTCTCCCACCCGCACCCCGCCCCGCAGCATCGCATTCCGGGGAGAAGCCGGCCCCCACCCTCCCCCAGTTCACCATGGGCCCCCATGTGAAGATCAACGTGCTGGGTGAGTCTGCGCAGCGCCCTCTGGTGGCCACTGCTGGAACCGCAGCCCCCTCCCCGGTGCCTGCTCACCTCGCATGCCTTCCCAGGGGCACGGACCCCTCCTCCCCGCCCCCACCCCGCCCCCGTGGGTGCTCACGTCCCCGCTGCACTGCTGCTGTCGCTGCCGCGTGCCCCGCCCGCGCGCGCAGCCCCGCCCTCACCAGGCTGTCTGTTCGTCTGCCCACAGAGGACTTTGAGAGAGAGAACCCCCAGGTGCCCAAGCTTGAGAAGAGCATCAGCGGGACCAGCCCCAAGCGGGAACGCCTGCCCCTGGCGGTGGGCATCGCCTTCTTCCTCGTGACACTCTTGGCCTCCTAGCTCTACCCCTCCCTTGGCGGGGAGACATGGGGCTGGGAAAGGGCAGGGAGACTTTGGTCTCTCCGAGAGAAGCCTAGCTGTGGGGCCTAGACCCCGGCTCCGATGGCTGGAAGCGGGGTCTACACCGTACATCTGTGCCCATCCCCTTTGCCCCCTCTCTCCCTCGTGGGGCGCTGTGGTGGGCCAGACGCAGGGACAGCCACGGGTCCCCGGGTGGCCTGTGGCTCTGGTACTTTTCTCTGACCCCGGTACCCTCCCCTGTTGTCACCACTGGAGACAGATATGCCCCAGAGAGAGCAGATCCAAGCGTGGGAGGCACCCCCCTCGTTCACTTCTAGGGGCGGAACACAGGGAGGGGACTCGGTGGGCGAGGGGGTGGCTCACGGCCCCCCTCCCCTGTTTACAGCAATAAGCACGGCCTCCTGCTCCCACTCCCGCGCCCAGGACTGTGGTTTGGATCGAATCCAAGTTTACAAGTAGACACCCCTGGGGGGGCGGGCAGTGGACAAGGGTGACAAGGGGTGGGCACTGGGTTGCCAGCAGGCATGTACAGACTCTATATCACTATATATAATGTACAGACGGACAGACTTCCTCCCCCTCCTTAACTCCCTGACCTTCCTTGACGTCCCCTTCCAGCTTCAGACCCCTTCCCCACCAGGTTAGGCCCCCCCACTGGGGGACCTCCTGGCCCCTCTTGTGTCTTCTGTGAAGACAAGACCTATGCAACGCACAGACACTTTTGGAGACCGTGAGACAACAATGCCCCCTCTCCTCCAGCCCTGAGCCGGGACCCAAATCCCATGACCTTGCCCTGCCCACCCCCTTGGTGGCCCCACCCATCCCCCCGGGCCTTTTTCAAGTGCTTTGGCTGTGACTTTCATACTCTGCTCTTAGTCTAAAAAAATAAACTGGAGATAAAAATAACTAAGTGTGTGTGATTTCAGGGGCCATAGCCCTTCTGGACGCTGGTTAAAACCCACATGTCACAGGGGCGGGGGCCGACTCTGGGGCCAAAGGGTCAACTGAGCACCTTCTGTGGCTCAGTCTCCCTTGAGGAGGCAGCTCTGTGTGGCGAGAGCCACAGGGCCTTGGGGCTGGGCCTGGCTGCCTTTGGGCAAATCATTCACCCTCTGCGAGGCTCACATTTCTCCTCAGAAGCTTGAGTCGGGCTACCCGTCTCTCAGGGCCGGTAAGGATGGAATGGTAGAGGAAGCATCCAGCGCAGGACGGTTTCTCCTTCCTTCCTGTTCCACTCTGCAGTCGGGGTCTTGACTGGGGTCTGTGGGTTGCAGGGGGGTTGTGAACCTAGATAGGGAAAAAAAAATCACATCTTTGTTTTCACTCACCTGTAACAAATTAAACATTCTCTTATGTACTTGGGCAACAAGCCAAAATAGTTTGCAGAGGGCCTGGGTCTTTGTAACCAACAGAAATCACAGATGCTTTCAGGCTGCATTATAATTTTTGAAGATCTCTCAAAACACCATTTGTTCTCATCACTACTTTGAAAGGACTGGAGTTGTTAGACTGTTCTTGTTTTTAATGTGTTAATAAAGAAGCATATATATTACTATACCAAAAAATGTAAATGTTTTGATAACTGTGTTTCCATATAATTGGTTTCCTTTATAATCCTTTGTAATTTTATTTTATTCATTTAAACCATTATGGCCCAAGGGCTGAGAGTGCGCTGGCGCTGGGGTCCCACATAACTCCAGCACCTGGCGTCTGTCAGGAGAGAAGAGGCAGAATGCTCCAGACAGAGCGGGGGGGGGGGGGGGAGGGCCACGTGGCCCCAACAGGCTGGGTGAGGTCAGGCTTGTACCCATGGTGCTGTGGGGGAGGGGAGGTGATGACAGGAGCCAAAACCTGCCAGGGAGGGGGTCCTTACTGCCAAGCTGTGCAGCCTTGGGACTCCATCCCACCCCGGTTCTCTGTGTGGGCAGACTGGGTCCTGGCTGAGGGCCCCTCCTTGCCCCTGTGGCTCCTGCCAGCCGCATCCTGAGAATGAGACCCTCCCCGGCGGTAGGGACTGGGTCTTCTTCCCGCTCTGTACTCATAAAATAGGGGAAATGGAATTTCCGCCAGGCCGTGGCAGACAGGGAGACGTGGGGTGGGAGGCAGTGGGGAAAGAGCCAGGGCAGCCGGGGTACCAGTCTGAGGCTCCTCACCCAGAGACAAGACTGAAAAGGTAGGCTCATCCATTGCAATCATTCGAGGATTCCATCAACACTTCCTGAGCACCTGCTGAGTGCCAGGCTCTCGCCTGGGTACTGGGGATGCCAAGACACAGTCTCTGCCCTCACATAAGCTCATGTTAGCATGTGTTGATAGGTGAACAGGAATCAGTAACACCCACACACAGGTAGGACAGTGTAACCAAGTGTTCCACGGTTAAATGCCAGGGGGCTGTGGGAACATGGAGGGAAATGTACCCTCGTGCCTGGAGACACAGGGAAGAGGCTGCTGGGAGGGGGAGCCACACACAGTTGGGACCCAACTGGGGAGAGCAGGAAAGGCGTGGAAGGAGTCACAGCAGTGGGCCTAAGCTGCAGGCTCCTCATCCCAGGGCCACACGGGACAGGGGAGGGCATGCTGTGAGGGGGCGCTTAGTAGGCTCACAGTCCAGCAACCCAGCGGCGCCGGGGTGGCTCAGCCGGTTAGACGTCTGCCTTCGGCTGGGATCATGGTCACGGGGTCCTGGGGTGGAGTCCAGGAGGGCTCCTTGCTCAGTGGAGAGCCTGCTTCTCCTCTACTTCTGCCCCTCCCCCAGGCTCATGTTCTCCCCCCACAAATAAATAAAATCTTTTTTTGGTAAAGATTTTATTTATTTATTTGACAGAGAGAGAGAGCGAGCGCACAAGCAGGGGGAGCGGCAGAGGGAGCGGGAGAAGCAGGCTCCCCGCTGAGCAGAGAGCCCTGCTGGACTCCACCCCAGGACCCCAGGATCATGACCTGAGCCAAAGGCAGACGCTTAACCAACTGAGCCACCCCGGCGCCCAATAAATAAAATCTTAAAAAAAAAAAAAAATCCAGCCAGACAGACAGAGGGCCAAGCACTGGGTGGCAGGAACTAGAGCAAGCCAGCTTCCACTTACTGAGCACCTACTATATGCCAGGGACAGCACCCAGTGTTTTCCGTGCACTGGGAGTACCGTGCACGGTACTCACTATCCCCAAAGCACAGATGGGAAGGCTGAGGGTCTAAAAGGCCACATCCCTGGATTAGGGTCACAGGGGCCTGGCACATGGGACAGGGCCTGGCAAGGCTGGCATTTGGAGTAGGTCTGACTGTCGCCACGCTCTGCCCATTGGAACCCCTACCACCACCTTCCGCCCCCTCTCGCCCAGACTCCTCCAAAGTCACGTGGAGTCCGCAGAGAAAGACTTCAAAGGACCTCCAATCCAGATTGGTGAGCCAGTCTGAACCCCACATCTTAAGGGCAGGAAAACTAGGGGCGCCTGACTCAGTCAGAGGAGCGTGCAACTCTTCATCTCAGGATCGTGAGTTCGAGCCCCACGTTGGGTGTAGAGATTACTTAAGTAAGGACAGGACAAAGGACAGGAAAACTAAAGCTCAGAAGGGCGAGTGACTCAGCCCATGCGGACAGGTGACACGGCAGAGAGGCACTGGGACTCGGGCGTCCTGGTCCCCTCCACCGTTCCACCGTGCTGCCAGGCCCCAGGAGAGACTGACAACTTCCCAGGGATCCAAGGCTGATACTTGAAACCTCTTAAATCACCCCAAGCAGTGGCTAAAGAGAAAGGACCATTTCCCCTGTAGCTGGGGCTTCAGCCAGGGGGTCCTGTGTGGAACTCCCCTCAGACAATCCTCTAGTTTCCAGAGCCTGTAAGGGGGAGGGAGGGGTCAACACGTAGATGGATAGACGCCGGTGACCCTGAGCCTGCCTGGCACAGGGCCCCTGCTTGGTGGCATCAAGGTTGGCCCGGCCCAGGCTGTCCTGGCCAAGGCAATGGTGAGGTGACACCAGGGACAGGGCCTGAGGGCAGGAGGGGGCAGGTGGGACAGAAGGGGACCCACAGTCCAGACTCAACACCCGCTGATGGATCAGACAGGGCAGGGCAGGATAGGACAGCACAGAACAGAATATGGGATCTGGGACTGAGCAAGACATTCAGGGGTATGGGGCAGGTAGGGGGCAAAGACAACAGGACTGCAGCAGGGGGGCGGAGGGAAACAGGCTGAGTCACCTCCTCCCTCCGCCACCCTGGGCACCCGGGCTGCCCTCACTGTCTGCTCAGGGAAGGCTGTGCTGTCTCCACCCCAAAGCTGCAGCCCCAAGGCCGTGCGGGCCCCAGGCAGGCAGCTCGTCCGCCCTGACAGGGGCTCCTTGGCCCTTGTCTGTGTCCCTCTGGCTGCCTCAGCAAGACCTCGAGACGGGCTGTACCAACACTCATGCAGGAATTCAGAGTTGTCCCGGGGGTTCCTTAGGGCACAGCCAGACTCACGAGCAGACACAGATTTGGGTTTGCGGAGTGAGGTTCCGAGCGGCCACGCCCCCCACTCCTGGGCACTGGGTCACCCTAACCCAGCCGTGGAGAGGGGAGAGGAGCAGGAGCGTTCACCATTCGGGCTGGGCTCATCCCCTCGGCTGGGGACCTGCAAGGGCTGGTGCTGGCCCCTGAGGGGCGCAGGGAGCTTCCCCGAGGGATGCTCTGGGCTCAGCCCTACCCTTGTGCTCTGGCCTGGGGCAGAAGGGGCGAGGTCCTGGCCCACCTTGCACCCCAGGGCTTCTCCTACCCCCTTTGGCCTCTCCTTCACTCCCATTTTAGGTGCTAAGGCCTTGGGGATGGACCTTGCTGTCCAGCCAGCGCTACTCAGCCCCAAAGCCTCACATGGTGTCCCTCACCCTCCCTGTTCTGCTCAGGTGGCAAACTTGGGGTCAGGGGCTGAGCTGGGCTGCAGGGGACATCGGCTGGGACAGGAGACATGGGCTGGGCTGGGGGATGAAGGACCTGAGCTAGGCATGAGGGACACCGGCAGGAAGGGGCAGGGACACACAGGCTGGGTAGCTCAGCCCCTGGACAGACTGGGGAGTGTGGGGCTGGCCCAGGAACAGCACAGAGGCGCGGGGGTCAGGCCAGCGGGGGCAGCAAGAACAACCTCAGGCGGAACCCATGACTGGCCTGGGATGGGGCCCTGGGGACGTCTGGCTTCCTGTGGCTTGGCCCCTCCCCCAGAGGGT